TGTACAGCCTAGCTTCTGGTCTCTCCAGCTGCAGGGGGACAATTTGCCCTGAATAAAGTTTGTTTTGCTCCAAATCCTTGGTTTTACAGTTCTGTCTTTGCTTGTCTCCATGTTTGGGTCTCTTCCCCCCATTTTGCAAAGTGGCTTGGTATTATCTCAACCTCTGTGGGATCCAGGTTGTGGGTGCCTATTGGTCATTTGGATTTCATACAACGCTATGTAGTATATGAAACAATAGTATATTTATCCATTCTGGCTTCCCTGCTGAGCACCTACCCCATATCACTTGAGCTTCTTATATTACGATTTAGAGAAAAGAGCATTATCCCGACTACTTATTCTACTTCTATTGTTCTTCAAAAAGAAGATCCCAGAGCATTGTACAAAAGCACATAACTCCCCCTCTTTTCTAAAACTAAGTAGGTCTGGATTCAGTGCTGGGATGGAATGCCAGATGTGACGACATGAGTTGTATGACAGAAAGAATGTGGGCTGAAATCTCCAAGAAGAAGGCATCTGAACAAAGGCAGTTCTCAACTTACAACCAGTGGTGGGATTCAGCCAGTTTGCACCAGTTTGGCAGAACTGGTAGCTAATTTTTTCTTGCCCAGGCTCAGAATGGACATCCGGAAGTGTGATCCACACAGAGAACCGGTTGTTCATATATTTGAATCCCACCACTGCTTACAACCACTAATTTAGTGACTGTTCAATATGACAACAGCACTGAAAAAAGTGACTTACCACTGATCCTTACCACTTACAAGGGTTACACATCCCCACAATCACGTGATCAAATTTGGGTGCTTGGCCACTGACAACTGGCATGTATTTACAATGGCTGAATCCTGAGGTCATGCCATTTGTGACAAACAATAGTGATAAAAAAGGTTGTAAAACCAGGCCTGAGCCACTTAGCAAAACTGCCTTGCTTAGCAACAAAAATTGTGGTCGTAAGTGGAGGACTACCTATACTTCATTCAAAAGCTCCTGGTGGCAAACTCTGTAAACCCAAACTATCTTTGCTTGCTCCCTTCCAGGTGTCAGATCTGCTTACCTTGGAATAGGTTGCTCCATTGATGACTTCTCCCCTCCTCATCCAGATGATAGATGCTGCTGGTTTGGCATTGTCAGCATGACAGGTAAGATTCAGGGGGTCACCAGCTCGCAGACTGATGATCGGTCCTCCAATAATGATTGGATCATCCGGAGGTACTGTGAAGGAAATAGAGTATGATGAGATTCAGGAGCATCAAAATAAATTATAATAGAATATCAGAATAACAAAGTTGGAAGGGACCTTGGAGGTCTTATAGTCCAACTCCTCTGCTCGGGCAGGAGACCCTACACCATTTCAGACAAGTGCCTGTCCAGTCTCTCCTTAAAAGCCTCCAGTGATGGAGCACTCACAACTTCTGAAAGCAAGCTGTTCTACTAATTAATTGTTCTAACTGTCAAGAAATTTGTCCTTAGTTCTAGGTCGCTTCGCTCCTTGATTAGTTTCCATTCATTGCTCCTCGTCCTGCCTTCAGGTGCTTTGGAGAATAGGTTGAGCCCCCTCTTCTTTGTGGTGAAAATGATTCACCAAATCAGCAATCCTGCTAGGAAACACAAAGGTTCCCCAAACAATATAACCTAATTTTATACACCAATTCAAGAGACCGTTAGGAAATTAGTTAGACCAGTGGTTCTCAACCTTTTTAATGCCGCGACCCCCAACCAGTCGTAAGTCGAGGACTACTCAACTGGTGCAGCACTGTTTGCAGAATGGGACTTTTGGCGGGATCAGCAGGGCAGAGACAGCCTGGACAATTCCTATTGGCTTTTGAAAGCCAATAGAATTAGACTCTATTCAAGACAATAGAATAAAAGGGAGTAGCACAGCTAAGGAAAAGGGGAAAAGAAAATGGCGGACTGCGTCATTTGGCGACCCCCATGAAATGGTCGTTCGACCCCAAATGGGGTCCCGACCCACAGATTGAGAACCACTGAGTTAGACAGACTGCAAAAAACAAAACAAAACAAAAAAACAAACGAACAGTGGATACAACTTGCAGAAATCCATGCCTGGTTTGGCACTGCAAATCTACCAAGTTGTTGTTTTTTAGAGATCTGCTTATAGTAGTAACTGTTCTTTTGTCAATAACAAGATGCTTCCTAACCAAGCTGCATTGAATTATTGTCAGAACGGTGTGCATTGTACAAGGAGAATTAGCTATAACCAAATAACATGGCTTATACAAGAGGACTGAATGCTGATTAGTTAACCTTCTTTGATGGCACACTTGTTCATACAGAACAGGATGTTTGGTTAAAGATTGATTAAAAGGTTGCTTTCTTTCCTCCCAGCTCAATGCCTGTTTACGTCTGTTGAGGTTATTTTAAAATCTATTCCTGCTTTGTAAATCAGAACCCAGGTGTAGCCTTTATTCCAGAGAAAACTGTTCTTGGATATTACCTGGAGAATTAATTGAAATTTCATGTGATTTTTGGATACGACATCATGGAAGTGGAATTAAATACAAATTAGCTTGCTTCTTCGCTCATCTTTCTAATGTTTAGCTACTCATGCAGGGTTTCCCTTTAGAGCAAACCAATCTAAATTTTTTTTTATATGAAAGCAAAATAAAATGCAGTCATAACTATTTTATGGGGATGACTTTAAGTGTTACTATAAGGTAAGTGAAGAGGTAGTGTTCACAAAAAGGATTTATTTCTGCTTCTTATATGCTGTGTAAAAAGTACTCTGCAGATTTGGGTGGTAAGTTAGATGGTTGCTTTGCTTAGCTGTAGCTGTGATCCTCAAATCAAACTGAACCACATTTGATGAGATAGATTACCAAATGTAATGTTTGAGACTATAGGGTGCTTTTAACACAGTGGTGATAGGTAGACTGTTGGGGGGGGGGGAATAACCAGGAACATTTGCACAGAAGAGTTTATTATTGTTACTTCTAATAAAATAATCTTGTCAATGAAATGGTCAAAGCAAAATTGGTGCTATATAGGGGGCAATGGAATTCACTGGGGAGGGGCTGGACTTAGGTCTTTTGTGACAATGTAATGATTCCAAAATTATGACATATTTAACCCTGCCTTCCATCTCAGCCTCTTTTTCTCCTACATAGACAAGGCTATCATTGTCTCTAAACACAACAATACAGTTGATTCAGGGACTAGAGTTTAGACCACTGTTTCTCAATCTTAACAACTTGACTTTAGCTCCCAGAATTCCCCAGACAAGGAATGAATGAATGAATGAATGAATGTCTATGTTAATGTGTGTATGTATATATGTATGTATATATAAATACATGTATATGTATATGTATATGCATATGTATATCTGTACGCATGTATGTATGCATCCTCTTACTCTAGATTTAAACACAAACACATAAATATATAGTGTGCATTTCTAATAATAGCAAAATATACAACATTTCTGTGACCATAAGAAATCAAATAATCGAATCCTGAACCCTGAATAGTGAAGCTGAAACCTCATTTTTATCTTTCTCAAGTAAGCAATCCAAAAGTGGCCTCTGAATAGAAATAAATCTAAATGGGCTTTCGTCTTTCCTCAGAGTAGTTAGTTTTGCTATTTCTGACAATTCCATTAATTTCAAAAACTGTTCTTCAGTTGTGGGCATTTGTGAATCTTTTCACCTCTATAGAACACTGCCTTTGTTTATTGTAAAGCCCAAAATAACGTCCCCTGTGTTTTTAATACAAAAGTGTATTTTTTTTTTTTAAGAAGAGGGATGGAGGTCTTCAGATGGACAGGCTTTTTCAGTGCTATGGGTTGGAATCAATTATATTTAAGAACAAAGAAATTTCAAGGATCCCCTGCTAGATATGTTGAATCAAAAGCTTTTTTTTTTTTTCATGGTTGCTTGTGAGATTTTATTCAATGCACTAAGTTCTTCCGAAGCCCTTCTATTGATGCTTGCATGCTAAACCTTGGTGGCATCTCTAGGTGGCAGACAGACCATTTAGGTTCTGGTGTGTGTGTGTGTGTGTGTTTCTCCCTGTATTCAGCTTTCATTGTCTGAAATGGGTTTAGACACTAGATATGAAAGCAATAACATATTTCCTTCAGTTTATTTATTTACTGCATCGCTAACGGAGGTCTCCTACTGGGAGATATGCACATCTTATGTTATGAAAGCTGGAGGCAGCTGCCTTCATTCAGCCTACAATGCAAAGCAACAGATTTGGTCTAAACAAAATATGGAAGGAACAGGATAAATTCAACCAATTTGATACATAAATCAGACCACTAACTGATGGCTGTCATTTCAGAATTCTCACATAGCTCAGGCTTTCTGGGTGTTTCAGCAGAGAGGGGAATACCCACGGCACAACAGACAGGAATGAATTTTTACAGATTTTTTTTTTAAATATATATTTCTGCTAATGATTTAGTTCTGTAGCTTTCAAAAGGGATTAAGATAAATTCATTAGTGACTTAGTTTTGATGACTTTCTGCTACATTCTGAATCGAGGATTACAGCTGGGGTTAGGAAGAGCGATATTCTTTCATGATCTGCTTATGAGGTACAAATAGATTAGATATGTCACTGAGTGACACAGAATTGTTCTTTTTTGATCCTGTCCTTTTCCTGCTAATGCAGGGTCCGCTTCCTTCAGACTACCCAAGTATTGATCCATTGGTTGTGACAGGAATTGGCCAATTGACTTGTCACCTAAGCTTGATGGCATGGGCTGAGACCGACTGAGGCCTCCAATATCATCCCAGCCAGCTTTCCTGCCTAAGGAGGGACCACAACCTGCAGTCTCCTTATGATTGGCCCAAAGTCACCCAACTGGCTCTCATGTCTAAAATCTGATTAGGGCTCACTGTCTACTGGTGATTGGCCCAAAGTCACCCAACTGGCTCTCATGTCTAATGCAGGACTAGAACTCACAGTCCCCTGGTGACTGGCCCAAAGTCACCTAGCAACTTTCATGGGTAGGTTGGGACTAGAACTCACAATCTACTAGTTTTTAGCCTGGTGGCTTAACCACTAGACCAAACTGAATCTCCTTGTGTGATACAGAATACTGAACAAAATCCATATTTGGATAGATCCAGATCCAGACCCAGCCTTTTGTGTTTTGGGGTCTTGTCCTCTGCTCTCCTCACATAACTGATAAGGAAGCCTCTGACAGCCCTAATTCCTAACTCACACATGCATAGAAAGCATTATGAACCCTCAAGAATTCCTTCAATTAGCAAAGTCAGATGGTTCCCACCAATTTAACTCAGAATAAAGCTGTTTCTAGAAACAAAAAGAAAGACTGGCCTTTTTGGCTGAAACCTGAGAGTTGCAGAAAACATGAAGCAAAGGAGCAGCATTGCCTGGTTTAAAAAGAAACATCAATTTATCTGGTTAGAGCTGAGAGAATTCTTGTCTTAATCCCCAAGGAAGATTGCCAGTTGGTGTTGACAATATTGATTTAGATGAACCAATGATCTAATTTAAAATAAGCAATCCAGAGTACTATTCTATCTTATCTTAGTGCCTATAAATCACTCTTCAAACAAAAGAGCTGAAGGGGAAAGAAAAAGTCTATTCCAAATCAAATTCAGTACTAAGAACAGTTAGTAGGCTTTTTTTTTCATTCAGTACAAAGAGGTGGTATGCTGAAATCCAAAATAAAACTTAAGAGTCACAAGATCCAGAAGGAAGCAACAAGATCACAGTCAGATATGGTTATGAGCAACACAACATGAGCCAAAAGGCACTGGACACACTGAAAGAATACCAGGTGGAGGCTTAACAGGCATTGGGTATGTCTAGTTTAATCAAAAGAAGGACTAGGGGTGAAATGATAGCAGTCTTCCAATATCTAAAAGCTGCCACAAAGAAGAGGGGGTCAACCTGAAGGCAGGTTAAGAAGCAATGGATGGAAACTAATCAAGGAGAGAAGCAACCTAGAACTAAGGAGAATTTTCCTGACAGTTAAAAAAAAAAATCAGTGAAGTGACTTGCCTTCAAAAGTTGTGGGTGTTCCAACACTGGAGGCTTTTAAGAAGAGATTGGACAACCATTTGTCTGAAATGGTATAGGGTTTTCTGCTTGAACAACTCTGTTATTCTTCTTGACTTGAGCCCAACTTCTGATAGCTGTCCCAAGACTTGGCAGGATCCTTATTTTTATTTATTATTAAATTTATATGCTGCCCATATCACCTAGAGACAACTCAAG